TAATTGCAGTGACCTCTGTAGGCTAATAAACCAAGCTAGTTTATTGATTAGTTGCATGTGTTTTAATTCGATTGATTTCTAGTTCTTTGGCAGTTGAATTTTTCTTGTGCTTAAGTTTTCATGTTAAATTAGTAAATTGGAATTATGGTATGATTGGTTTAAGGTCCAGTTTGGGATTGCGATAACTTATAAAAAATTACTTCCTATACAAATATTTTTAGTAAAAATATTTTTAAATTATCAAAAATTTGACTCCTTAAATTACGGCAATTAGTTACCAAATACCATAAAAATACTTTTTAGTGCTTACGATCTATCACTTTTTTTTTTTATAAACCCACCGCAGCTTGAAACCTATGTTTTCATAACCAGACCGGATAGCGACTCGGCCGAAGTCAGGGGTCAATGGGTTCGAGCGGGGGTCGATAGGGGTCGAACCGAATGACGTCATAAATAAAAATTATTTAAAAATTAAAATATTATATATATAATATCTAATAATATATTGATATTAATAAAGGTATATTCATATATATTTGATGTTTCAAATATATTTAACAAGAAAATACAAAGAAATTAGAACAATCAAGTAGCAATTTATATTATTTAATAAATATTAACAAGTTTAGAATTAAAATTATGAATTTAATTGAAAAATAACATCAAATTTTAGGACAATATTTATAAAGTATCAAATATTTGAGGTATATCAATAAGTTTTAACAATTTAGGGGGTCAAAACATAATATTAAAAAGTTTGAATTTTTTTTAAAAAAAATTTACTGTTGAACAGGGAAAAACCGATTTTTGCCCGGTCAAACCCGATTTTTGACCGGGTTTTAAATTTCCGGTTTTTTAATATGGCTCGGACCGGCTACCTGGCCGGTTTCCGGTTCGACCGGCCGGTCCGGTCCGAGTTTCAAAACAGAGCTTCAAACCGAGCTAAATCTTGACTGCGTATGCTGATTATGAGATGAGGCCTAGTAGACTAGACAAACTGTGTACGCAGCAATTGTGAAAGCGAGGTTTTGTGGAGTGAAGCAAAGCTATTATTGCCTCGAAACAAAAAGTCTTTGCCCTCATTTTCTTTTGTTCATTTTCAACCACTTTCTCCCTTCATTTTTCGTGTGCCTTGAAATTTTTATTTGCTCAAGATTATGTGGGTTTAAAAATTTCCCAATAATCTCTCTATAGTCTCTAATGCCACCCTGATCCCCCTTCAATGGCTTAAAACCTTAATGACAGTTTCCAAACAAAATAGAGAATTTTTCTAATGATATCCAATAGATACTCATTTATACACACAAATTGTATTTAATTATCACATAAGTACGTAAAATCACAATTATTTTACCTGTGCATTTAAATACTTTTTGAAATTTACTTCATTTTTCTAAATAAAACTAACGCCTGAGGCCTTCTTAGTACCTGTTAGCCAAATCGTAAAAAATATTAGGATTCTAAATTCAGAATCGATTCCTATTAAAACTTTTTTTTTAATTAATTAATAGAGAAATCTCTCTACGATTTGCAAGGTTTTAAATTTGCAATTAAGTAGGTCAACTTTTGAAACACGTGTAAATTAAATATTTCATTGTTGTATATAGTTTACACTCCTAATCTCAATTACAGCTACCCTAACCAATTGGTTTATTCTATATCTAGGCTCACATGTCACACTTGGCGGTATTGTTTATATATATCTCTCATTGTCATCTTAAAAGTTGGAAATGGAAACAGAGAGACGGCTCTGATATTCCATATTAATTGCAATTTGATACCTTAAAGTTTATATGAGATATACAATCAATTTTATAAACCAAGCCTAAAGGTACGTGGGTCCATTTTGTGTTTGTCATGATCAGTTGCACAATTTTCTCTTGTTGCATAATTGCACCTCTAGATAATGCTGAAATTTCTCTTCATCGAAGTTACTCGATCTCACTGAATTTTGTTTTGGAAGACTCAATTATTTCCCTTATACATTGAGTAGGTCTACCTGGTTCCATTCATAAAAGCCATCCATCATAATGAGCATACTTAGCAAAACCAATTGCTAATAAGTCTTCCTAGCTAATTATTTCTTCAAATATTGCTCATGAAGATGTTCTTTCACCTTTACCTTGTGGTTGATCTCGACGATCAGCTGGAAATATGGAGTAGCCTAGAGAATGCCTTGGCTCTTCCTTCGAATTCTCTCCATCTCTTTTGTATATGAGTTAGTGTCTAATTTTTCCATAATTGAAATGATCTCTCTCTATTTTGTGGTCAAAGATTTGGCTGCTCATGTACTAAACTAACAGTTTGATTTTAGCCAGCCATATTTCCATTGCAACATATCAAGTTGCAGTGCAATCTTTCACAGTCATATATACCTGTATAGTCAGCATATATGGGGTTCTAACACCTTGCATGTTTCAGAAATTCAATTTTTGTCATACACTAGATATATCATAAGGGTAGGATCAATCGATCATTATTGAAATTTAGGAGACTTACTTAACACTTTTCCAAACTTAAATCACTAATACAAAGCAAAATTGGCTAGTTTTCAAGCGAGACAAACATCTGACATTACTACTGACACACCTAGCAAGAAATGGTATGAGGGTAAGAAGTATTGCTCCACAAAATCTTCGATGGTGGGACTGGGGCTACTACAGTTATGTATTTCTTTAATTGCTCAAGATTAATGTAAGCATTTTGCTGACACTTATACCCAGTTGATGTTTCTCAATCAAGAGTTGGTGCAAATCTAAGCTCCGTATATAGAAACCCTGCACGGTCAATTAAGTCCGTCACACCAAACCTAATCTTACCTGCCCGTCCAGTAGTTTACAAACTGCGTGCAGGAATGGCTGTTTAGTGTCCTATTTGATCTGGTTATTGTGAATGTTACAAATTTTTACGTACAATTACATTATACTATTGTCTCGAATACATGTAAAATTTTATTCATCGTACGTCAACTTTTTCATAAATACAACAGTAGAATATGATTATACATTAAGCAATGTAGTAATTACAATAATATCCCATACTTGCCCCAAATTCGTAGCTTACTGATATAGCGAAGAAATTTGCATGGTGTCAAGAGTCCAGCTTCCGGGTCCAGGCTTAAAAACGAAGCATCCTACAAAGAAAGGTGTTGTTCTGCTGCAGTCTCCGCAATACTCTGTTATGGTACAGAAGCCAGAGTGCAGAAAATGTAAAAGAAAACAAACTTGATTGTAATGATTCAGTGAATAATCAATGAAACGGTGATTGAAATGAGCTCAACTTTCATTAATGAATCTGGAAAACAAATTACAAGAACAGAGGTAATGAATTCAGCTAAGAAGGTGGAAGATCTTAAGGAAATTTGGGAGGAAAAAATGAGGATTGCTCCTCAGGTTACTACAACCAATTCCGGATGGAATAATTCAAAAATCTCCTCAGACAATGAAGCAGACATGTCTGCTTATAAAGCTATCAATTTCTAACAAACTTCTAACTACACCAATAAGAATTAAACACATGGCTCCCAATACAATCTAAACACGTGGCCTTCTTTCACACAGCTCACTCCATGACAGAGCCTCCCCCTTAAACAATCCTTGTCCTCAAGGATGTCGAACAAAGTTCCAAGCTTCCAAACAAAGTCGTCGGATTGATATTTGGCAATTCGCAGCAAGCAAGTAGTATAAGAAAATGGCAAAGCTTGTTGATTCTTCTGAGTTTGATAAGTTTGGTGGTCAGCCAAGCCTTGTGGCTCCAAAATGTTTCCAACCTTTAAAGTTCTAACTTGCCCATCACTCCCAAAGTCAGGTCCTGGAATTAGTTTTAGCTGAGAAACGAGAGCTGAAATTCTAGAAGTAGCACCAGCAACCATAAATAATCTTTGAAGAGCATCTTGATCCGGATAATGCAAACCAAGGGATTTCTCTACTGCCTTCAAAAGGTCTTGCAGGTTAGCATCAACACAACCAAGCAAGGTTAGAAGTCCTGCTGTTACTCCTAGATTTGAAACAGATAGGAGAATTCCTATGTAGCCATTACAGGCCAAGCTAGCCAGAAATTGCAGACCAAAGTACCTATTGGTTCCCTCTTTTAATTCCAAGAAATTAGCAAGTACTGATATAGCTTTCACTGGTGCATGTACCTGTATGATATCCCTATCTTGAAACACTATTGCTGGTAATATGCCGTAAACCAATGTGTTATTATCCTTACTAAAGTCAATTTGACTACACCATAACAAAGATTGGGAAGATTTCTCATTAAGAAGTTCACTTTCCCCAACCTCCATAATCACAATTTTACTTTTGTGACCACATATAGCAAGAGTAGAAAGTTGCCAAATGGAAATGCGGACACCATAGATAATTGTTGTACACTTCTCTACTTCTTCTTTCTGTGGACATCTTCTTTCAAGCAATTTGAAGCTGCACTTCTGTACATATTTCAATTGTCCATTGCTGAAGTTTTCAAGCAAGATAACCTCACCGGGGTTGAACACGAAAATGAATGCATTTGCATCTTTTTTCACCCCAAGTGTAGTGTTTTTCACTATCCAAAATGAAGACAGGGAGCAGTACTCATCCACAGCAACATTAGGATTGCAGTCCTTACTTAGTTTAGGCAACCCTTTGATCAAGCAAACAAGGTGTTCAACTATTGCTATGTAAAATATACCTTGCATCGAAACCACACCAATTTTAGAGTCATTACAGTCTTTGTTCATTGCTATTTTAGTACTGCCCCCAGGATCAAATATCAAGTCATCAAGTGGTCTATTTGGTTGCGAAGGAACAATATTGACAGCACCATCATGCTTTTGTTCATTGAGGATGGTTGTTCCGGCTCTGATAATCCGGGGCCTCACCATGTGGTACTTCTGGAAGTGTCACCTCGGGTATCTTCTTGACAAATTGACTCTGACCCGGTTACCACCTCGGCTAGGGTCCTCCATCATAGTGCCGAGATGACGCCTAAATGTCTGACCACGGGAGAGGTGGGATATGACCTCTGACAAAACTGCTCTGACACCTGACAAAACTGCTCTGACACATGCGCCGCCTGACTCTGACAACTGTTCCGGCGCGCCTTTTCGCAGGAGCCCATCAAATCAACTTGATGGACTGCCCCTGTCAGATCTCTAGGGACCCGTGCTAGCAATCCCTCTTTCCTGTCCATCCTCTATAAATACTCAACACTTCTACTGAGAAGGGGGATGACCAATTTTTTGGTAAAACAACATACACTGATTCTCCCAATTATTATACCATTTCTCTAATCCCGAACTAACTTAAGTTTCGGAGTTATACCGGGGGATTCAGCCCCTCTTGTAAACTAAGCAGGTGACCTTGCCGCTGTGACCTTTCTAGCAAGGACACTTCCCACCCTCGGTTCAATCCAGCCGGTCAGAATTTACCTCTTCAATTGGCGCCATCTGTGGGAACGCGAAGACATCAGAGGATGAAGCCTACGCGTTCTAGGAGCAGGAAAGCTCTCACTATTGGGGCTGAGCAAAGTAATGCGGCTCAGCAGGAAGATATTTCCGAAGGGCAGGAGTCCCCGAGGACTCAGCCCGCAAACGAAGAAACCATAACCCGTATGGCCGAGTTTGTGACCGAGAACCCTAACATCTTCGAGGAGTTAGGGAGGTATCTTAAGAGACAAGGCAAGCAGAAGGCCGAGTCCTCTAAAACGAAGTCAGATGGATCTCCTGAAGGTTCGTCTGAAGAAGAATCTAACGGGAGGCGCTTGAGCCGAAGTGCATCAAAGCGGGCATTCTCCAAGGCCACCTCTAAGGTCGCCTCCCTAACCAAGGCATTTTCAAGAGGGCTCTTGGGTCGACGACCTGAGGAGGAACCTCGACCTATGGGGAGAGTTGGGGTGGATTACATGAGGGCTCCATCCTTTACGGATGACATCAACGAGGAGAGGTTTCCTCCCAACTTCAAGCTCCCCTTGATACAATCTTACGACGGCCGAGGTGATCCTGAAGACCACATTCATGCCTTCATCTCGGCCTTCCGCCTATATTGCATCCCTGACCCCGTCATATGCTGGGCTTTCCCAGTATTCCTCCAGGGGACAGCTCGAAAATGGTTCTGGGGTTTAGAACCTATGAGCATTTCAACCCTGGGAGAATTAGTGGGGAGATTTCTCCACCGATTTGTCTCCTCCCGACCTACGACCAGGATCTCGGCTTATCTGTTGAATATACAACAGAACCCGGGAGAGTCACTTCGATCGTACGTCCAGAGGTTCCACGAAAAAAGCGTGCAGATACCTGATCCCAATGAGCAGGTTACCATCGCTGCTTTTACCCACGGGCTCGTTGCCGGGATTTTCAATACCGGGATCCACAAGAAGTATCCTTGCACCCTCCAGGAACTATGGTTGAAGGTCGAGAAGGGCATACAGGCCGAAGACCTCAATCATATGAAAAAAGAGGTCCAGGCCGCCCGCTCAGGCCGAAGGACTGATCCACGAAGGGGAAAAGACGCCGGCCGAAGTGAAATCGGAACAGGAAACAGCTTCCAAAGTCCTAACCGAGATCGCCGCAGCGTGTTTGACAGGATATCTAAGGGAAAATCATCCATCCCCGAGTTCGAGTTAACCCCTTTGAATACCACCCGATCCCGGGTATTGTCCGTAATGAAACAAAACAATCTCGGAAGGGCGCCTCCGAAGATGTACAGTAGCAGAGATAAGAGAAACTCGAACCTCTACTGCCTGTACCACCGAGACATCGGGCATAAGACTGAAGACTGCCATGATCTCAAAAGGGAGATTGAGAACCTCATCAGGCAGGGACACCTAAAACAGTTCATCCGCCGAGGTAGAGGTCATCAACGTAATGAACCTCGACGTGACAGTTGGGGTGATCAACGCCGAGACGAAAGAGGGACGTCGAAAAGCAGCTGCAGGCCCCCAGAGGATCCTAGGAAGACAAAAAGGCCTCCCCGAGACGGATCTTCAGGTCATGGGTTAGGGTATGGACCCAACATAGCCGGGGTCATCAATACCATCGCTGGAGGTCCGACGGGAGGAGATAGCCAGAATTTCCGGAAGAGAACCAACAGGCAACCTAACCCGGATCAGGCCGAGTCAAGCTCCCACCTATCCGAAGTGATCTCTTACGGACCCAGCGATCCTGTCCCAACTGCCTCGAGCAGTCATGAAGCCTTGGTGATTGAAGTACTCACCAACAATTACATTGTCAAGAAGGTCTACGTTGACCCAGGGAGTTCGGTGGACGTCATGTACCTCCGCACGTTTGAAAGTCTTAAGTTGACCAGGGAACACATGACCCCGGTAAGGACCCCTCTGGTAGGGTTCGGGGGACACATTGTGCATCCCGAAGAGATGGTTACTCTGACGGTGACTGTAGGGCATCACCCCCATTGCCGAACCATCCCTTTCAATTTCGTGGTGGTTAAGGCTGACTCTCCGTACAACTTGTTCCTAGGTCGACCCACGCTTAATGCTCTGCGAGCAGTGTACTCCACATACCATCTGAGTTTTAAGTTTCCTACCCCCGCGGGTGTTGCCGAGGCAAGCAGCGATGTCCACGCTGCCAGAGAGTGCTACCTCGCCACTTTGCAGGCAGCCTCCACATCGGCCTCCGGCACGAGGTCCGAGAAGAGGTCCAATATCCTGTCAATTGATTGTATCGACCCTCAGCAAGTTGAGAAACCCCAGAGGCTAGAGGCCGGAGATGAGGTGGAGAAGGTCTCCCTGGACCCCACGAATCCGGATCAGACGATCCGCGTCAGCATCTATTTGCCTGGCCCAGTTAAGGAAGTATGGTGGATCTTCTCAGAGAGTACCGAGACGTCTTCGCTTGGGCCGCAGATGAGGTCCAAGGAGTTCCGCATCATCTCATGATACACGAGTTGAACGTTGACCCCCAGGCACGCCCGGTCAAACAAAAAAGGAGGCACCTCGGCCCTGAGCGCAGCCAAGCTGTAGGTGAAGAAGTGAACAAACTCTTGCCCGCAAAGATAATACGGGAGGTCCAATATCCGACCTGGTTGTCCAACCCGGTCATGGTCAAGAAGGATGGGGGGCTTGGAGAATGTGCGTCGACTTCACCGACCTCAACAAAGCCTGCCCCAAGGACTGCTACCCATTGCCTAAAGTCGACACCTTGGTGGACTCGGCAATGGGTTATGAGATCCTCTGCTTTCTTGATGCCTTTAAGGGGTATCACCAGATCGGGATGAGTCAAGAAGATCAGGAGAAGACGGCCTTCTATACAGACCAAGGCGTATATTGCTACACCATCATGCCTTTCGGACTAAAGAATGCCTGAGCCTCATATCAGCGCCTGGTTAACCAGGCTTTCAAATCCCAGATCGGCAGAAATGTCGAATCGTATGTGGACGACATCCTTCTCAAGAGCCAGACGACCTCCACTTTTCTTTCTGACCTGAAAGAGGTCCTTGAGGTCCTCCGGAAGAAGCGAATGATGTTAAATCCCAAGAAATGTGTTTTTGGGGTCATCTTGGAAAAATTTTTGGGTTACCTCGTCTCAAGGCGAGGTATTGAAGCAAATCCAGATAAAGTGAGAGCGATCCAGGAAATATCTCCACCTCGGTCTATCCGTGAGGTGCAGAGGCTCACAGGGCGGTTGGCGACCCTGAACCGGTTCCTGTCACAGTCAGCTTCCAAGGCATTGCCTTTTTTCAAGGTTCTCAAGAAGGCCGACAGCTTCTCCTGGACTGAAGAATGTCAACAGGCCTTTGAGCAATTAAAGGAGTACCTTCACCGCCTCCCAACGCTCACCTCGCCTCGGCCAGGGAACAAGTTGATTTTGTACCTGTCTGCCGCGGTCGAAGCCGTGAGCGCGGTGCTGTTAAGGGAGGAGGGTGTACAGATGCCAGTCTATTATGTCAGTCGAGTCCTTCGGAGTCCGGAGACCAGGTATACCCAGGCGGAGAAGCTCGTACTGGCCTTAATCCACGCAGCTCGCAGGCTTAAACCCTACTTTTTAGCTCACCATATTTGCCTGAGAACTGACCAGCCCCTCAGGTAAGTTTTGTCGCGCCCGGAGGCTTCCGGACGTCTTACTAAATGGGCCATCGAACTAGGGGAGTACGACCTGTCTTACGAACCTCGAACGGCCATCAAAACTCAAGCCCTCGCGGACTTCCTGGCGGAACTCACCTTTGATGAAGTGATTGAGTCTACCCCGGCCACCACTGGGTCTCAGCGGTGGATTCTGCATGTGAACGGCTCTTCCAACAGTGAGGGTAGTGGGGCAGGTTTGCTCCTCGAAGACCCCCAGGGAGAGGTGTGCTCATATGCCTTACGATTTGATTTTGTCACCTCAAACAATGAGGCCGAATACGAGACAGTCATTGCCGGACTCCAGCTAACCCGCAAACTCGGTGCTGTGCACATCTTGGTCTACAGTGACTCCCAACTCGTCGTGTACCAGATATTAGGTGAATATGAGGCCAGAGAAGAGGTCATGCATCGCTACCTCTCCAAGGTCCACCAATTGATCGCACATTTTGAGTCCTTTGAAATCCAAAGGATACAGCTGTCGCAGAACAAGCGGGCCGACGCCTTATCCTGGCTTGCTTTTACTTCATTTTCTGATTTGAATAAGACGGTTCTTGTGAAAGTTTTAGCCAAGCCGGAATATCTAGGAGAAGTCGTGTACCCCATCTATCCCGGAGACACCTGGATGGGTCCCTTGATTCGATTTCTCAGTCGGAGGGAGCTCCCTTATAACCGAGCTGAATCGAGAAAACTTCAGCGTAAAGCAGCTCGGTACGCCCTCCGAATAAATCTCTTGTACAAGAGATCCTACCTCGGCCCGTGGCTGCGGTGTATCACACCAGAAGAAGGAGAAATGATCCTCCAGGACATACATGAGGGACTTCGCAGGGCTCACGTCGGCTACAGGATGCTTGTCAAAAAGGCTTTGTTGCTTGGGTATTTCTGGCCCACCATGAGAGTAGATGCCCATATCATAGTCCTTAGTTGTCCTTCTTGCCAATACCACGCCCCTGAGCACCACCAGCCAACTAACCTCATGATCCCCATCACCTCGCCGTGGCCGTTCGAACAATGGGGGACTGATATAATCGGTCCATTCCCTAGAGCCCCAGGGAATTATGCCTACGTAGTGGTGGAAGTAGATTACTTCACCAAATGGGTCGAGGTCGAGCCTCTGAGAACCATCACTGGGTCAGCAATTCAAAAATTTTTCTGGAAGAGCGTAGTTTGTCGTTTCAGCCTGCCCCGGGTGGTCATCTCGGATAACGGCAGGCAGTTCGCTGATAATCCATTCAAGGCGTGGTGCGAAAACCTTGGGATCAAACAGCATTTCACCTCGGTTGGACACCCTCAGGCCAATGGGCAGGCCGAAAACTTCAACCGCACTCTCCTCCATGGCCTCAAAACTAGGCTACATCGAGCCGGATCATCTTGGATGGAGGAACTCCCTAGCGTGTTGTGGTCCTACCGAACCACCCCGAGGTCATCCACCCAAGAGACCCCGTTCTCTTTAACGTATGGGTTCGAAGCTGTCGTCCCAGCCTAGTTCATCACTCCGAGCCCACGAATGGCAGCGTATGCCGCCGAAGTCAACGAAGAAGAACGACGAGTTGACCTCGACCTCGCCGAAGAGAAGCGTGACATGGCGGCGGCCAAAGTTGCTCTTTATAAAAATATCCTAATTGGCTATTATAACGCCCGGGTCAAACACCTACGATTCAATCCGGGAGACCTTGTGCTCCAAAAGAATTCGGTCAGCCGAGCAGAACCTCAGGGGAAACTTAGCCCCAAGTGGGAGGGACCCTACCGTGTTGTCGAGTCCAGCCAAAACAGATATTATAAATTAGCTTACCGAGATGGTTCCCGGGTGCCTCGAACTTGGCACGCTGAGAACCTCAGGTTGTATCACCCCTGAAGGGTATGTACTCTATTAATTAAACTCCTGTTATTTCTCCTTTAGTGTTATTTTATCCTACTCTAAGTGAAAAATAAGGGGACAAAACAGCAGTAAAAAAGAAAAAAGGAAAATCGAGCTCAATTAAAAAGGCAAATCCAGTTGTATTGAGGCACAAAAAGTAGAAAATCGAGGTCCGAAATACTCCTAAGCATCCACGATCTCGGCCCTTAGGTACAAAAGGGAATGTCTCTAAGCATTCCCTGCCCCGGAGCCTTGTTCACCCATAGTTTCTCCCCCCACCCCGGCGTCTTGCTGTCCTTCAGCCTCTCCGCCTGTCTTGTCCCCTTCGAGGCCATCGCCATCTAAGTCGAACTCTTGAAGCCACTTGTTGAACTCGGCGCGGACCTCGGTTAGGTCTCTTCCGGTTTGGATGCCTTCGGCCATGCGGTCACACAGCTCTTTGGCATCCTCATTGTAGTTCGACGCATCTTGGAGAGATTCCAGCTGTTCAGAAGAGAGGAAGGGCGCCGCGTCATTGACCGCCGTGGTGTAACCAAACATGAAGGTCGGCAACGTCAGTTCACCGAGGTCGCGGTTGAAAGACTCCGACTTGCGGAAGGCTTCCAAGGCTGAAACCCCGGCCATCTCTATCGCTTTTTTGAACGACTGCTCCTCCTGGGCTCTTCTCTCTTTTTCTTCACCGAGGGCGGTTATCAAAGAGTTCTTTGTCACCTCAACCCGATTTCTGGCCGCCTCGGCCTTATCTCGCTCTAGCTCGGTGGCTCTTAGTCTCTCTTCCAGTTCAGCAATCTTCTTCTGAAGCTCGGAGGGCGGCTCGTACGTCTCCATTATATTCCCATAACGCTGAATCATCTCAGCGAAAAAGGCCGTGGTGGATGCCCAGAAAACTGAGGCACTCTGCATCAGCTCGCCAAGGGTGAGCTTCCTGGCATAAGTGCTGTCCCGCGGCAGCACTGAATGCACAAGGAGTTCCTGTGCGACCAGGGGATTCTTGCAGCGGTCGTTGACATTAATGTTCCACTCCGGGCACCACTGTGCTCCGGAGTGCCTCTTGTCCTCCCCGACCTCTTGAGCAGGCACGTGGTGGAGATTGAACAACGAGAATCCCGTGACGGGGTGATCCGGAAAAGGTGTGACACCCTGGCCCCGGGGTGGAGAGGCTATCGTTATTCCCCGAATGGGGACCCCCACCGGAATGACTGAGGCTTGGGAGCCCCCTGGAGTGGCCGAAGTGCGTGAGCCTTCCCCCACGATCACCACGGGAGGCGCGCGTTTCGCCGTTGTCGCGGCAGTCTTCTTGGCCGGCCTGGTGGAGGGTTCAACAGTGTCCTTGCGTTTCTTTGGTCTTTTGGCCACCTCGGCTGCTGTCCCGGAGGTTATTAAGTCAGAAACTCTCGTCACTGCAAAGTACGAAAGGAGAGTTAGTTAGAATCAAGGAAAAACAAACAAAGTAAAGAATGAAAAATTACAAGGTTTCTGTAGCCTAGAGGAGAAGAAGACGGGGTGATCCGAGCTGATCAAAATTCAGCTGAACCCGCCGTCAACAAGAACTGCTTCGAGAAAATCCCAGCAGTTGATCCTGAGACCCGACCCCGTCAGTTTCTTGAAGTTGCTCTCCTCCAGTTTACCCGGAGAGGTCTCTTTGACCGGGGTGGGAGGACTCCACCAGAACCCTCTAGGGAAATCCTCAGCTGGAATGAAGATGAAGTTTCCCTTCCACTCCTTTATTGAAGTGGGGGCATCCACCACCAACTTCGGGATCGTGTTCCCGAAGTAAAACCAACCCTTTTCACTTACGCTATTTTTGAGCGAGTAACACCGGCGAAAAAGGTTGACAGTGGGGTCTTTTCTTGATGTCGGCAGAGCAGTTAGAAGCCGACGAGAACGCGAATGGCGTTAGGGGTGAGCTGAGTGATTCTCACCCCCTAATACCTCAAGCAGCCTCGGAGAAACCTTGTAG